GGGGAGCTGGTTCTCCCGGGGCATTTCGGGAAAAGCCCCTTTTGGGCTGCAGGTGATGTTCGAGGGCTCTGCCCCGCCCTCTGGACGGTGTGGGGGCCCGGGTCTGAGGCCCGCCCCGCCCCCCTCAGAGCGTCTGGAGATGCGTACGGTACGTTCTGATCGTGCGCGCGGCTGCTGCTACTACTTCCCAGAAGCCCCCAGTTCGGAGAAAGGATTGCCAGCCTGGATCTGAGCCGCATTGGCCTGGGTTCGGTTCCACTGGGAGCACAACCTCTCACTTGCATCCAAGTTACCTCCTTAAATACCTCCCTTATCCTACACGTCCCTGGCTGGTGCCTGCTTCAACCATCACAGACCCTGAGCTCACCCTGCCGACTCTGGCTACCAAGGAGCTATGGCTCCTCCCATCTCTGCTGGTGGTGGTCAAACCCTGCCACTGTGTGCTTGTGCTTCCGTCCACACTTTGGTGTGCAACGCACACCTTTTTTCTGTTTTTTGCAGTTCGGGGAAGATGGTTACAGCTAAGCCCGGGAAAACACCTATTCAGGTATTACATGAATACGGCATGAAGACCAAGAACATCCCAGTTTATGAATGTGAAAGATCCGATGCACATATGTCCACTTTCACCTTCAAAGTAACCGTCGGTAACGTAACCTGCAAAGGTCTGTATGCACAGTTAACCCTGGTGACCATGCTGGTTGGCAGTCAAGTCTTGGTGGTGTTTTTCAGTTTGGAAACCTGCCCTTTTTGCAAGAAACAGCTTTGGGGAGAGCACTTTTGAAACTGAGGCACCTTAACTCAGGTCAATGGGATATTCCAACTTCATTTGATTGTCTCCTTAAACTCTCTCTTCACTGGATACTGAGAGAAGCTCAGATACTAAAGTTTTCTAGAACTTAAGCAAGGTCTTCTCATATCCTTGAATTAGGAAGCAGGACAGGAACTGAGCCAGTAGCTGGATCAGTAGCTGGTGTTGAGATAGTTTACATTACAGTACATGCCAGAAGGCATGACCCTAGAACTTTCTAGAGCTTCTGTCACATGCTTTGGAATCATTTGCTGCTATGTACCACGCTTGAGTCTGTATCCAAGCAAAATAAGGAAGGACGGACAGAAATTTCACAAAAACCCAACAATTTCTAGTCTTGCATAGGTATTTTTATATGCTATTATCATCTTATACATACAGAAACTGATGAAAAGATATGAGTAATGGGCTCAAGATCACAGCAATTAAATTTCTGAGTTCAGAAATTCTTACACTGGTTTGTGAACTTGAACAAATGATAACTAAAGTTACTCATAAGTAGACATTATTTTTTAAATCCTGATCTATTTATTTAAATGGAATTAGTACTTAAATAGATTATGATTTAAAAAACTAATGTCCACACATATTAATTACTAAGTAGTCATGGTGTGGCACTGTGGGATAAAGCAATGGACTACAGGGTCAGTTTGAGCTATAAGGTCAGTGGTTCAAACTCTCCAGCTGCTCCTTGGAAACCCTATATAAGGTCACTGAGTCAGAACCGACTTAATGGCACTAAACCACAAACAACAACAGCATTTAATTGCTAACAAATATTTAATGTAAAATTTAATTTGGTAAAATACCAAGGGAAAAAATTCATTACAGTGGCTGAAATGTTACCATCTGGTAATCTGAAGGCATCATTTGCTTGCTTTTGTCACTGGATATCTGCAGTGTGCTATTTTCATTAACGTTATTAGGTGCCAGCGAGTGGATTCCGGTTCATGGTGACCTTATGCACAACAGAATGAAATACTGCCTGCTCCTGTACCAACCTCTCAGTCATTTAGTTTGAGCCCATTGATAACTGCCACTGTGCCAATCCTTCTCCTTGGGGGAGGGGTGTCTTCCTTTTTTTTACTGACCCTCCATTTTAGGAAGCATGATGTCCTCCAGTGACTGGTCCCTCTTGATAATGAGTATGAAGTATGAGAGACATAGTCCCTCCATCCTGGCTTCTAAGGAGCATTCTGACTGTACTTCTTTCAACACAGATTTATTTGTTCTGACAGTCATGGTACTTTTAATATTCTTCTCCAACACCATAACTCAAATGCATTAATTCTATTGCAGTCTTCCTTATTCATTGTCCAACTTTCATGCATATGAGGCTGTTTTAAATACCATGTTTGGGTCAGGCGTGCCTTAGTCCTCAAATTGGCATCTTTGTTCTTGAACATTCATTGAAATTACTTTAAGAAAATGTTGAAGCTTTGTTGTCTATGTAAAGTAGGTGGATTGCTAGTGCTGACTGGATGGTTCCTTGTGTTAACAGTTGAGTTAACATTTCATTACTGCTTTAGCTATGTATTTTTAAATGCCCACGCCCACTGATACAAAGTCAGTTCCAACTCACAGCAACCCTGTAACACAGAGTACAACTGCTCCATAGGGTTTCCGAGACTAAATCTCAACTGGAGCAGAGAGCTTCATCTTTCTACCTCAGAGCAGTTGTTGAGTTTGAAACGCCAACTTTGCTGTTTAATAGTCCTAAAAAGTGGGTGTGGGACAGCACCTGATCTCCAGTAACTTTAGAAGGGGGAAAGGAGAATAAAACTTCACATTCACCCAAACCTAACTTCTAGTAGGTGAGGGGATGGAGGGAGGCCTAGGTCTGATATGCCTCTACCAAATCTGACACCAGCCATCCCTCTCACAACATCCTCTACTCCTCTGGGTTTGATCATTCATTGTACATTCATTGTACTCACAGTTACGGGTTTGTTAGGAAGTTAACAGGTTACAATTCAGGGTCAGAAATGCTCAGGTTTAGTTTGAACTATTTAGAGCTTTGCCCAAAGGCAGACTGGCCCTCCACCCTTTGGCCTGGATTCTTCACTGATAGGGAAATGTTACAGAGCAAGTTTAGCATTGCTGATAAATGCCCAAAGGGTACTACAGTCCTCCTATAAACTCCTGCTATAAATCTCAGTCCAAAGGCACTAGGCTCTAGCTCCATAGGTTAGCAAACCAAACTCCCCAATTAAGTGCCTGGAGGTTCCCCGCTGCATACGGGAGCTTCCTGTTTCCTGTCCAAGGGCAATTAGCTTTACTTGTTCTACACCTCCCTTCACCTCCCCCCTCCCCTTCTTGCTTCTGAGATGGCTCTTTATATATCCACTTTAGAGTTCCAGGTTTTTAACAATTTTAGTTAACCCTGTTAATAATCATTCATAACTGAATTCTGTCCTATCAACATCTTCTCCCTCCTTCTCTTACCCAGACCCATCAGGGAAAAAAAAAACTTGTTTGGTGGGAGTTACAAAGACTGGGTAGAAGAGCCATATGAAGTAATTCACAGCGCTGCACAAGTCCAATACATAACTCATCTGCAAAAATTCAAGAGAAGGTAGCCATTTTTCTTCCTCACCTTAGGTTAGCTGAGGAATTAACATATGGCAGCTATTACTAGCTCTAACCTTCACATACTCTTCCTTTTATTTACAAACTTACCCGCCTACACAGCTTCTCATACCATCTAAAGTTATGATAATTATGAAATCTCTATCTTTAGTCTAGGTCCAGTTACAGAACAGCTTGTTGGCTGGCGCTTATTAGGGATCTTAACTTGAATGACCCAAAAGCAGCTCAAATTCATTGTCCCAAATTGAACCCGTCTTTTTCCCCTAAACCTACTTTCCCTGTGTTTCCTATTTCAAAAAAGGCACCACCATCACCCACTTGCTTACACTAGAAATTTGGGTTTAATTTCTTGACTCTTCCCTTGGCCTCTTGTCCAACCTATAAACAAATCCTATCTAAATAGCTCTTGTTTCTGTTTCTCTTCTCTTCCCCTTACTACTTATAATCTGGGCCTCATGGATTAGAGCTACCATCCCACAGATACTGTTTTCAACTTCTAATATTGTAATGTCCTGTTAACTCTCCACATTATAACCAGAGTGCTCATTCTAGAATTCAGATTTGTTCATATAATTTCTTGGCGTAAAATCCAGTCACTGGCTTCCCCTTGATAAATACACATTTCATAGCATGACTTAGCAACCTTACTTCTCAAACGGTGGTCAGCATAGCATTGATAGCAACTTGATGAAAACCCAGAATATGAGGACACATTCCTGACCTGGATCAGAGGATACATTTTAACTAAATTTCTAGCCTTTTATTTCAAAATTTCTTCTCTCAGCTTTTAGGCTGTAGCCATGCCGGACTGCTTGAAACTCGAGAACACTGTTTTGTGTTGCCTTTAGGCCTTAGCAGGTGGTCTTTTCTCTGCCTAGGATGCTCTTTCTCATCTCCAGCTCTCTTTACTTCACACCCTGTTACTAATCTTTCCGGTCTCTCTCTCCTATGAGACTTTTCTGAATCTTTCCTGAGAGTAGAGGACACGCCTTTCTTGTGTACTCCCTGTAGCCTGCACTTAGGCCTCCCTCACCACTCCATGCTTAATGTACTTGTTTGTTTACAGATGGAGTCCTGTCGTAGGCTCTATTCTGTGTGCAGGATCCTGTGTATCTAGTAATGTCTCTGCTAGTCGTTAAAACAGACTCCTGGTGTGGCACTGTAGGATAAGCACAGGACTGCTGACCACAAAGTTGGCAGTTGCAACCCACCAGCTGCTCCTCAGAAACTCTATACCGGACTGCTATGAGCTTGAACTGACACATGGCACTTAACAACAACTGTTGATAAACAAATACAGTTGGTGTATCTTCTGACACATGTAAGTAGTGAAACCTTTACCATTCTATCATGCTTCCCTCCACAGCTAAGGAATGGATGCCAGTACTCTGACATCATTTTAGAAAGCACTAGGTTCTCAACACTTAGTTTTAACACAGAGGAGAAAAGATCAAATTACCATTTATTGGGTATGATTTCTTACAGAAATTTAGACTTTAGCCTTACAGATTGTTGTTGTTAAGTGCTGTCGAGTTTGTTCCAACCCATAGCTACCCTGTAGGATTTCCCAGGATCAGCTGTTGAGCTTGAACTGCTGACCTTTTGGTGCAAAACAACTTTGCAGTCTGGTGCATTAACCCACAGTACCAGACCAGGACTCCTTACTTACCTACGTAATCAGCCTTACTGATTAATCACTCTTACCTCTGGTGTGGCGCTGTGGGTTAATGCGCCAGACTGCAAAGCCATTTGAACTGCAAGGTTGGTGGTTCAAGCTCACCAGCTGCTCCTTAGAAACCCTATAC